AAGGCCCTGGCTGGGAACTGACTCCCCACCCCCATCCCTCCACCCTTTTCAACAGTAATAACAAAGGGATGTTGAAGGAAACAAGGGTGGTGTTCGAGGACCTGCTCTGTGATGTTTTTAGTCACCCTCGGGGGTGGCTGAGGCATTCTGAGTAACACAAGGCCCTGCTAACTCATTATGAAAGGTCTCCTTTTCTAATTTGGGTAGTTAAATAATGCAGACATTCGACTTTAATTAAAAGGTCACCCTGATGGAGGAGTAGATACCATTATTTGAACTTTTCTCACCACCTTATTTAAAAAGAAAAATCTGTTCAAGTATTATAACTCTACCTAGAAAGTAAAGACAGCTTTAAGGCAGCTCTTCAGCAGCACATCAGGAAGGAAGCAAGGGCCTCTGCATCTTAAACCCAGAGTTAAGAGACCCAGCATCCCTCCTCAGCTCCTCTAAGGTCTCTAACCTTGGAGAGGACAGTGATGGTAATAGCTAAATTTCCAGAGACCATGGGCCTCCTGGAGTGTTTTGACAAAACACGGTATGCAAAATAATTTCGTTATTTCCAAACTGTTAGGAGCTGTGATTCTCTATCCAGCAGCTGATGCCCCTGCTGCTGTGGCTGCCCAGGGGAAGAAAGGGCCCTGAAATTCCCTTCAGCCTACGAGAGCCCCGCCTTCTTCACCTAGCACACTCTCACGGGAGCTGCCCAATGCTATTTCAGAGAAGGGTTTAATCTCCAAAATTTACAGAGAACTCCTACAACTTAACAAAAGGAAGATAAAGATCCAATCAAAAAATGGGCAAAGGACCTAAGTAGTCACTTTCAAAAGAGGACATACAGAAGGCTGAGAGACATATGAAAACATGCTCCAAGTCACTAATCATCTGAGAGATGCAGATCAAAACAACCATGAGATACCATCTCACACCTGTCAGAATGGCTATCATCAACAAATGACAAGTGTTGGCCCTGATGTGAAAACGGAACCCTCCTGCACTGCGGGTGGGAATGCAGGCTGGTGCAGCCACTGTGGAGAACAGTATGGAGTTTCCTCAAAAAACTAAAAATGGAACTCCCATTTGACCCAGGGATCCCATTTCTAAGACTATATCCCAAGAAACCAGAAACACCAGTCAGAAAGAATATTTGCACCCCTATGTTCATAGCAGCGCAATTTACAATAGCTAAGATTTGGAAATAGCCTAAATGCCCATCAGCAGATGAGTGGATTAAAAAACTGTGGTACATCTACAAAATGGAACATTATACTTTTATAAAAAGAAGGAACTTTTACCATTTGCAACAGCAAGGATGGAAGTGGAGAGCATTATGCTAAGCGAGATAAGCCAGTCAGAGAAAGATAAATATCACATGACCTCACTCATATGTGAGAAGATAATAATCAACATAATTTGATGAACAAAAATAGATCCAGAGACAAATGGCAGGGAAGGAGGGGGGTTAGAGAGCAACCAAAGGCCTTGTATGCATGCACATTAGCATAACCAATGGGCACAGACATTTGGGCGATGGGGGTTTACCCTTGGAGGTGGCAGTGGCGGGGGAGGGGGTCAATAGGGGGAAAGAGGAGACATATGTAACTTTAAAAAAAAAAATTGTACAGATGGGAGAGAAAACCGTTTTCCCTAAAGAAAGCCAGCTGGACAACAGGGTTCAGATGTCCCAGAATTTAAATCCTTGATTTCTCCCATGTGGGTACTTTTAGATTCATCCCTTGACCTGCAATCTCCATACATGGGGTTAACTCCCAACAGGGATGATGTTAAATTGTTTACAAAAACCGTCTCATTTTTTTTTGCCCTATTGTTAACGTGCCTTAAACTGATGTCCAAGGGGCAGTTCTTAATAGATCTTAAACAAAATTAAAGCAGATAAGTAATAATTAAGAGTAAGATGCTTTCCCTCAGAACCCATGGAGGGGCAGGTTGAAGAAGGAATCCAGAAAGTGACCCGTACAAGGAAGATATATAATAGGTGGCCTACACGTTTTCCCTGGACCCACAGCCCAGAGAAACTGGAACTCCTTTCAATGTGGGGCTGGCTAAGCTAGATGCTTCATGATTATAAAAGCAAATTCAGCATCCTTCCCAAGTGTCCTTTACTATCACAAATAATAAATAGCAACAGAAAAGGCAGGTGGTGTCTCTGAAGTTATCAGTGCCAAACTCTGCAGTAAACATTTTATATCTAATCTTATTGAATCAAGATAGTAACCCCACGACGTAGGGACTATTATTATTCCTACTAGTATATTACAACCGAGGAAAGTCGGGCTTCGATTAATTGAATAATGTGCCCAAGGTTACTGCTCAGACTCAAACCAGGATAGGTAAAGCCTTTACTCATGACCTCTTCATCCCTTGTCCAATGTGTAGCCTCTAGCTTCACACAGTTACTGAGCACCGGAGATGTGGCTCATGTGCCCAGAAACCATACTGCTGATTTTAGTTTACATTAAATGGCCACACTATATTGGATAGCATAGTTTTGCATTATAAGGGCTAAATGGGACCTTATGATCACGGTCCTTAGTCTCCTATCACAAATACCTTTAATGAAAGGAGACTGGCAATGAATATGAAGGGAGCCAATTTACCATTAGATTTTTGTAGACTAAGTCCTATCTGGGTTGAGTCCCCACTCTAGTCCTTTGATTTAGGTCCCTTAATCTGATGTCCAAGGGGCAATTCTTAATAGATCTTAAACAAAATTAAAACAGATAAGTAATAATTAAGAGTAAAATGCTCTCCCTCAGAACCCATGGAGGGGCAGGTTGAAGAAAGAATCCAGAAAGTGACCCGTACAGATGTACAGATGGGAGAGAAAACTATTTTCCTTGAAGAAAGCCAGCTGGACTACGAGATATCTCAGTCTCAGTTCCTCCTCTTAAATGAGGTAACACCCACATCATCACAGGCTTATTGTGAGAATTAAATGAGATGAAGTATCAGAGGGCTTACTGTAATGCCAAGAGCTAAATAAAGTGCTAGTGATAGCAACAACAACTCTGACCTTTGGCCTTTTTAATTCATAAGTGATGAGAGTTTTAATTCCCCAAAAGGCTACAATTTAAGTTATTAGTAATTAACTCCTACCTTGTAAATGTACTTTTGAGCTAAAAATTTTTTATTGTGAAATAGTCATATTTACGAAATTGCAAATATTGTACAAGAACTCTTATGTACCCTTAAACTAGAAGCTCCAGTTTTCAACATGTTGCCATATTTGCTTTATTCGTCTATCTATACATCAGATGGTTTCCTGAATTATTTGGCCCTTTATCCCTTAATACTTAAGTGTATTATGTTTCCTAAGGAAGATAACCTCATATATAACAATAGTTCCATTATTAAACTCAAGAAATGTAAGACTGATACAATACTTCCATCTATAAGCCTAAATCCAGCTCTGCTTATTATTATCCCAATAACATCCTTTAGAGCAGCGGTCACCAACCTTTCAGACACCACGGATTGACCACCTTTGGAGCTGCTTTGGGGCAACGGCCCCTTCCCTTCCCAGAAGGATCGCCTGTGTCTTCTGAGTCTCCTTCGATCTTTAATGGCACCTGAGCCTCTCCTTGTCTATCATGATGCATGTTTTTTTGTTTTGTTTTTAAGAGCACAGGCCAGTTATTTTGTAGAATGTCACTCAATCTGTTCTTCTTTGATATTTCCTCCTGATTAGGTTCAATGCTACCCAAGTGATGCTGTGTTTGTTGTTATCACACCTGGAGGTGCTCAACGCCCCTCTGCGCCATGCTGATATAATTTTGATCCCCTGGTTAAGGCACTGCTGGGTATCTCCACTACGTTTAGTTACCATTATTTCACTTGTTATTAATAAGTCCTTTCATTTGCTATTAATAAGACTATGCAAATGTATTGTCCCATACATTCCCTCCACCTCCACTGACTTACTTGTCTTGATGACTCTTGCATAAACAGCTTTTACTATGATGGTTGCAAAATGATGGTTTTCTAACTCCATCATTCCTTCTACATTTATTGATGAGCATCCCACTATAAAGAGGATCTTTTCTCTTTTGCTCATCTATTTAATCTACGTATTAACTGCACTGATTATGGATTTTTCCTTTATTTGATGGGTACCCCTGGATTTTGTTTAAAATACTCTTCAAATACAAGTGACAAAAAACTACAGATCTGGATTAAAAATAATTAATTAGAAGAAATGTATCCATAGAGAAATAAACTGAGGCCTCTTACTATTTTGAATGCTTGTGGGCGAAGGTGGTATACAAAGCTGAAGGCTCTGTACTTGAGGACATTAGCATGTAGCTCTAGCAATAGACAATGTGGGCTATCACCGTGAAGTGCAGTGTTGCTCATCATCAGACATGATATCATACCCCAAAAATCCATCCAAACAACCCATCAATTTCTCCACAACTAGCAAACTTGAATGTTCTGGCAAACTCAAAAGGACATGATTTACAAATAGTAGGTAATATTTGGATCTTTCCACGAGAGCTGAGTTCCAGCTTTTTTATAAAATACAAATGTTTTCATTTTGGAGCTCACTGTGTCACTTTCTCAACAAACAGAACCTCGTATCAGAAACGAGGCCCGTGTTATATATACAAATAGAATGTGTTTGCTCGTACTGGGTTTGTGGTCGGAGACCACACACCTAGTGGCTATTTACAGTGTTTACATTGCTCGTGGTGCCACGCGGGGAGTCTCCGAGCGGAGACCAAAGCTCGGGCCACACAGAGCACGGCCATGGGTCCTGCTGTCAGGCGTAAACCAGCCTTGACTCTCCATCCGCAGAGAAGGCATTGAGTGGTGTTTGTTTTCTGTGAAAGCTTATCCATGTCATCAGAGTATCACTAAGAGCATATTCCAAATTTGACACACGGACTATGTCTGGTATTACTTCAATGAAAAAGTTTTGCAAAGTTTTAGGGACATTATATCCTTGTGCTAAGGATCTCTGTGGGGAGGCTTCAAACACTTACCAAAAAGAGTCTGGGGACACCAAGGGCAAGCCGCTCAGTCTTCAGATGCCAGACAAGGGGCTGCGGAGAGTTGAGCAGGAACACAACGGGCTTGTGGTGAATGTGCACCGAGGAGATGGGATTCAGGTGCAGAGTAACCTAGGAAGCAAGAGAAAGAGAGGGCTCTTAGTATTGACTTTGCATTAAAATCACTTAGGATAATTCTAGCCGGTTTCGCTCAGTGGATAGAGCGTCGGCTTGTGGACAGAAGGGTCCTGGGTTCGATTCCGGTCAAGGGCACAAGCCTGGGATGCAGGCTCGGTCCCCAATAGGAGGCATGCAGGAGGCAGCCAATCAATGGTTCCCTCTCATCACTGATGTTTCTATCTCTCTCTTCCTCTCCTTTCCTCTCTGATATCAATAAAAAAACCTATTAAAAAAAAAAATCACTAGGATGGCATCTGCAATACTTTTCCAAAGCTCAGCATTAGCAGAAACAAGCTGTAAGTTTATTCAGGTTCATGTCCATAGATAAGACCTACTGAAGCAGATGATTTTGCCAATATTTGATTATTTTTCTCTACAAAAATGACTATATCATATGATTCAACCCACACTAATCTCAACTAAAACATGACTCAGCTCCCAGTAATAGCGGAACACAAATAAACGGAACACATTGTTTCCAAAGTTGGCAACGGCAGAGTAAGTTACCTTGCCCCAGGACTGCCTTATCCTGCAAGTCAAATGACTAAGCTGGCCCCTGGAGCCCAGACCCCCCGAGGGTGTGTCATCCCTCCAGGCTGTCGGAGAAACTGCTTTCTTCTCTTCCAGGTAAGCTCCAACCTCTCTGAGGTGGAGTTCTTCCTAAGAAAAGTGTCGAAAGCTAAGGGAAAGGGGCTGCCAAGAACAGCTGCCAGCGCTTTCATCATCCCAGCTATTAGCTTGAAGGGGTTTTCCAAAGAAATGAAGCACAGACAACACATAGAAAAAAAAAAAACTGATTTATATAGCCTCAGTTAAAAAAAGAGAAGAAGAAGAAGAAAAAAAAAAGAAGGGAAGAAAACCACAAGCCTGGATAGGAACACTATGGCTGCTTTGACAGCAGATCCAGGCCTGCTGTCAGTGACCCGTGTCGGCATTAGCAGAATCAGAGAACACCTGTCAGGAGGATAGGACCCAGTGGGTTCAACAACATCCCCCTAGAGCACAAGGTCAAACAACACGAATACAGGAAAGCAAAGTGCAGCACAACGTGATAAGGAAGAGAAAAGACAAAAAAAAAAAAAAAAAAAAAGAACTTCAGGCGGAAAGACACAGACTGAGTGACACACTGGGAATGACCACATCTCAGTCACAACCCTGGTGGGGTCTGTGCTTGGGGTCTATACGATCATCAGGGACATGGCACTCAACGCTGGGCCACCTCACACCTCCCGAGCGTTCACCTTTTATCATGGGGATGGCCTTCCAGTGTCACTTAGCACACATACGCTCAGGTCACTGGTAACAAAGCTCTAAACTTAACTATCAATACCGATATTCGGCACAGGGTGGCCACTCAGAAAACAACTGAATATTTAATTTCCTCATTTCCAATGACACAAAAAGTATTTTATTCTATAAATAACACGCACTATAGTATATCATACCATCTCATTCACTAACTGTTGAGTGTGTGTGTGTCCTAATATCTGAAATAGACTATAAACACTCTGCAGGCAAAAGACATCTTATATTTAATACTGTGCTTAATACATAGATCACTTTTAAGTGATTTATTTATAACAGAAAATTCATAAATGTATGTTACCTAAAAGGTTTTTTTAAAAAAAGGTTAAATATACTAATAGGTACAAATAGCTAACTTATATAATAGAAAAGTTAAAAAAAAATCTTTAAAAAAATATGAGCAATACTGAAACTATTTCTGCAAGACAGCTGGGATCATTAGGATTGTTTTTATATTTGGCTTGAGGAAAAGTCCTAAAAGTCCTAAAAGCAGGCCACTAATGAACAGTAGAACATCATGTATAGCCAGAGCAAAATAAAATTTTCCTTGGTTGTTCTGACTCTACTTCACAGCATTTGGAGATCCTATCTAATAAAGAGGGAATATGCTAATTGACTGCTATGCCCTCACAAGATGGTGGTGCTCACAGCCATAAGATGGTGGCACCCAGTCCCCTCAGCCCCACCGGGGTGGGGTGGGGTGGGAGTGGGGGGCGGCAGGTGCCAAATATCTCATCCAGCCAGAGTTCTCCAGTCCCTTCAGCCCTGCCAGAGCAGCCTCATCCAATCAGAGTCGTACTCCTCTTCCCCCTCCCCGGTCCCCTCTGCCCTGCCTCATCCAGCCTCAGTCCCCCAGTTTCCTCAGCCCTACCTCATCCAGCCAGAGTCTCTCAGTTTCCTCAGCCCCACAGGGGAAGGCAGTTGAGGGCGATTGGGCTAGCAGGGGAGGGCAGTTGGGGATGATCATACCAGCAGGGGAGCAGTTAGGTATCAGTCTGGCAGGGGAGTGGTTAGGGGGCTATCAGGCTGGCATGCAGAGTGATTAGGGGCAATTAGGCTGGCAAGCAGGCAAATGGTTAGGAGCCAGCAGTCTCAGATTGTGAGAGGGATGTCCCAGATTGGAGAGGGTGCAGGCTGGGCTGGAGGACCACCCCCGTTTATGCACAAATTTCATTTCATGCACTGGGCCTCTAGTCTAGTAATAAACACATTAATCAACACTATAAACAACAGAGGCTGTGGAAACAGAGTGGGGGCATGAACTGTAGCATCAAATAAACAGAGATGCACACCACAGAAAGCACACAGTAGGGAGTGTGAAGAAAGGAGAGATAAAACCATTACTTATTCAAGAGTGCCTGAAAAAAAGAAACACTCTGCCACTAATAGTACATCAGTAAAACGTTCTCAGACTTATTCCTTCTATAATAAAACTGTTCACTGAGCATCATCATGTCACAACGAATAACAATGTATACCCACAGAGGGGACATCAACTCTTTTCCTGGTGAATGTCTTTGCAGCCCTCAGGCATATCTTTCTTTTTGGACTATTCATTTAAAATCGTAATAAGTATATAACTCAAATAAAAAAATTTTTTTTTCTTAAAATTTAGTAAACGAAAAGAAAAATAGGTATGAGACAGAGATCGGTGCTTGGGTCCAAAGTTTTCCAGATGGTCCAACATGTCCAGGCCTGGCTCACACAATCAAGGAAAGATTTCTAGGAGCCCCAGTTCTGGGAGCTTTCCTGGAAGCGGCTCCCTCTTCAACATGTGGCAATGTCTGGCCAAGATGAATCCTCGACTCCAGCACATGGGGCTTAGGCAAAGCCCCAAAATCCATTTGGCAGAGAAGAATTCACACTATGATTGGGAAATTAAAAGAAAAATATTCCATACTTTTTTAGCAAAGATCATTTGGCAGGAACAGAAAGTCCCCCTCGCACCCGCTCATCTAATCCCTCAGCAACCTTCCTCTTCCAGACTTGCTCCACTTGAATAAATCTCGCCGAAGGAGAGCTAAAGAACAACCAAAAATGACCAACAAAAGAATGAAGGTATAGAAGCTCCTGAAATATCTCTTAGAGAATTCCTGCCTAAGATTTCTAACTTCTATCAGGCAGGAAAAGAAGATAAAGGAAAAAGAACTTTTTCTTAAGAACCAATTACTATATAGCTCAGGATAGATTACAGTTACAAAGATAAGAATATACTGCTGCCCAGCTAGTGTGGCTCAGTGGTTGAGTGTCAATGGTTTGATTCCCGGTCAGACCCCTCCAGTAGAGGGTATGCAGAAAGCAGCTGATGAATGTTTGATGTTTCTCTTTCTCTCTCTCTCTCTCTCCCTCTCTCTTTCTTTTTCTCTAAAATAAATAAAAACATTAAAAAGATAATAATATACTGCTGAAGATTTTCATGGGTAGATTATTGTCAGGTGATTAATGTCTAAAGATCAGAGCTGAAGCAGAGTGCAACACAGGAATAGCCAATGGAGAAATGATACAAATGGTATCCAATAATTTACAGCTTGAAAATCTGCACAGTAATTTAAAGAGTTGACTCTTAATCCTATGTCAAATTTGCAGAACAATAAAGGCTATCAGTTATCCATGGGCTTCATAAGGAATAGAGAACTGAGCCTAGGAGCCACGTGACTCTGAAGGCTCAGGGGGCAAAGTAGGCTACACCCTAAATGAGGGAACAATGATTAGTCTCTAAATTAGTAGTTTTTTTGTTCATCTTTGGGAGTCACAGAGCATTGGACTTGAAAACTTAATGTAAAATATGAATCCCCTCCACAAACGCACTCACACACATACAAAACCCATATGCCCACCAAATTCTGTAGACAACATCAAGAAAATACACCCATCACAGGACCCATAAACTCAATATTAAATACCCATTGTAGAAGAGCAGTAGAATCTAATGGCAGAAACGGAAACAAAACAAAAAAGACTTCATCTAATTAAACCAGAAATTACACCTCTGATCTGAAAATGCCATCCTCTCAGAGAAACAACTTAATAGATGACAACTCAGAACTAAAAAACTTGCACACGCAGTGACCTCTTTTTAACATATTTTGACCACACAGTTGCCAATAAAGCCTAATCCAGAAGTCCCTGCTCTAATTATGTTTGCCTCACACAGTGCTACATTTCAATCTTCCTAATGGCGTGAGAAAATGCAAGTAAATCTGATCTGTCACATTCCACATGTAGACACTGACCCTCAGACAATTCCGATCCTTCCTCAAAATAAAAGAAAGCTAATTGGTCTCATCTGTCCTATGACATCTATTTATATTCGGTCTTCTGAGGTTATCTGTTGCACTTCAGCAAACTAGTAGATGTAATTAATGTGTTTCTCCTATTTTATAAAGAAATTTAAAGTAAAACTTTTCTGAGTACTTTTCTGGGGAATCTGAACACAATTTTGACCAAAGTCATGGCCAAACCCAAGGAGCGTAAAGCCTCTGAGATAACCTTCCTTTTTCCCACTTAGAAGCATGTTCGTTCTTCCTTGCCCACGTTATCACCAAAATACAACAAGGATGATTTTCCTCCGGACCTTGTTAGGGTGAAGACCTTAGTTCTCCAAAGATTATCTTTGTTAAGCAAAACTTATATATTGTCTCAACCTT